TAGAGTTGGATTAAAGTGATTAAAACGGCCAAAACAACGAGTTTGTTTGGTTGTTTGACGGTTGGTCTGATTTTCAGATCCAAAGTCTAATAATAACTTCACAAGCCAAAGTCGGGCTGATTTGCTTCTGTGTTGCATAAAATAATATTTTACTGTGTAAATAAAGTGAGGTTTGCCTTGAACTTTCTGTGTGAAGTGAAGTTCTCCTGCTGGTTTCTGAGAACAGAGTTTTTTCCTGTTTTTGCTGCAGGCGTTCGAGCAGCTGCTGATCACTAGACTAAAATCACCACCACTCCATAAGCAGGCATTACATGCACAGGCATATTTGCCAATATCAATCAGCTAAAAATCTACCGTTGTTGTTAGTTGCACGGTTGAAACAGCAGCTGTTTGTTTACCTGAGGCTGTGCAGTAGGCAGTCATTGACATGTCTGGCATGGCACAATGGGAGAGTGGAGATTGAAAGATGTAACTTTAAGTGTAAAACTTTTAACACCTGGCTAGAAATTGGTAGATTTCTGCTTGTGTCACGTCAGACTTGGTTCACAATCGCTTTTAAATTTGTCATTTCTCTGTTTAAACACTACAAAGCTGAAGGCCTCTTGAGTAACTATAAATATTGAAAGCTCTCTGTTAGAGTTTTACATATATATCTCATTGGAGCCTGAAATTGATTTGAAGTTGGCTGAAAGAAGACAAGCATTTTGAAACGCAAGCCCAGGGGGGGAAAGAAGTCTGAGTTTCTTCTATTTTCTCTTTTTTGTGGGATGAGATTAACATTCTCCTAATGTAAGATTGATAAAGGCTCGACATATCCTTCTGAGTCCTATCTTTCTCCTTTTTCTTTCCCCCTCGGCGTGTTTGAGATATTCCGCAACGGAAAGTCTTTCTAGGCACAGCAGTTTTTTTTCCCCACCTTCCTCCTCAAACAAAGCCGAAAATTGACTCATGTGTTGCCCTCAGGGATATATTACCTGAAATTCCAGCATTTTTACTGGCTTACAAAAATGTAAGCCATTACTTTTCAGACAAACAGCTTCCGATATTACAAAGAAGAAGCTCTCGCTCCTCATTTCCTTGGAACAGTTGCTGACCCATCATTGCTTGCTCTCTTTGGTACAACACAAAAGTCCTAGTGTAAGCATTAAATCTAGTTAAAGAAAAGTACAAGTGAAAGACATACAGAACTGTGAAGTAGCTACATGTTAGGCCTAGAAGTGTTGGCTTGCTAATTGTTCTGTGAAGTGATGAGTTAAGAGATTTCTGCAGGTGGGAAGAGACAAATCTGTTGCCATTTGATGACTTATGTGAGCTTTGTGAAGACAAATTTAAATTTCAGCAGTGTTTCTACTGACTGGAAAATTGTTTTATTTATTTATTTATTTTTTATTTTTTTGTAAATAACAATTTGCAAAGTTACCATAAAATTGACTTTTCTTGATCTATGTCATGGATTCTTGACATTATTGCCTAGAAAACACTTCTGCAGTGTCTGATAATATTTTAGGATTTGACTACTTTTTAGTTCCATCCATTCATTTATGCATCCATCCGTTCATCCATCTGTTAGTCGCCTCCATTCAGTTGCCAGTCTGTTTGTCCTGAGCCTGTTTTTGACAGGTTTAATGTTTAACGTCTGTCGAAATATAGCAGTTATTTATTTAACTTCAGTTCATAATAAACAAAATAAACTGTACAAACCGGGTTATTTCACAGCATAATAAGCTTTTTCATTTACACTTTGTAAATCGACTTTTATATTGAAACTAATTATTTATATGTCTGACTAGAGATGAGAATTGATGCATCAAATTCTACTCAGTTAAAAAATACTTTGATGCCGCAGAGATATTAAATGAGAAATTATAAATTGTAGGGAAATTCTGTGCAATTGGCAACAAAAAGTGGTCAAACCAAATGATGGTCTTTTGAACTTCTCAATTTCATAACCCCAAATGATTTCTCAAACCTTTATATTTCTTATTTTAATACCTAGTATTTCGTAAAACGGAACATTTCCCAGCCTGGAGCCTTGGGGCTCCCCTACCCATCAGTTATCTTTTGATATCTTGAGAAAATGTCTAAAGAAATCACTAAAATTAATATTTTTATGCTTATAATTGACTGCATCTTGCATACATTAAGCATTAGTATACTGCAAAACTATTTGTTACGCTGCTTACTTTATTATTTAATAGTTATGGAGGTTTGAATGTTGATGCTTTAGAGATTGAGAAAGAATGCACCGTATAGGCGAACCAGTTTGAAAGCTGTCCTTGTCTTCTGATTCATAACTATTAGTCTCATTGGAAGGACAAATTGAAAGATGACCTCAGATTTGCTGTCTTGGAGCTGTTACTGTAATGCACTTGCAGTTTATAGAATTGGCAAACAGCCTTGAGCTTTCTCCAGCATTTGGCCATCTGTGATAAAGAATTAAAGATGCTTACAGATGGAGCAGGGTAGAGATGCATTTGTTGAAGGAAGAAAAGAGACAAGCAAAGGAAATACAGGTCAGTACAAGACTGGATTTTCTTTTATTTCCATCCACCTAACCAGCTACCCAACCATTTTTTTCTCAAAGAAAAATCCCATCTTGATCATGTACCTTTACTTTTCAAATTAAAATTGCCACCCAGCCCTACAATATAATCCATATTGTAAGATTATATTGTTATATTGTAAGGTTGTGGGTTGGTTATACCCAACCTACGAAATAACAAACCCATCCAACCCGTCTTCTCAAAAAGCAATTCTATTGGTTGGTCTGACCTATGCAACCAAAAAGTAATAGACACAAAAGTCCTAATCTTATCCACCCAACCAGGCAAAAGCCAGTCCCATAAACCTACAAAACCATAAACATCATCCCAACGCCACACAGAAAAACCACCAAAGACTAATCCCTGCCCTCCAAAACATACATCTAATCCAAAACTGATCCCTTCCTACCAAAAACCTACTCACATTGCACCAAAAACCAGTTCTATTTATTCACAAAATCAAAAACCTAGCAGATTCTCACACTGATCCTAAAAGCTCATCTTCCTAGTCAAAATACAACATTGATCAAAGTTTGGGTCAACCAACATCAAAACCTGAAATACCCACTTACTCCTCTACGATACTGTGCCATCTACACTCTTAAATCAAAACCAAAGCCACCAACCTGGCCACCAAATCAAAAATAAACTCTTAACTCCAACCAGTTTGTTTTATTAGTGTAACACTCCTTTCACATAGAGCATCTTCTTTTCTTAATGTCTAAACATGATACAGCAAACATATGTATTTTCAGTGTTCCTCTTTCCTGCCACCAAAGCAGAGAAGTTATCTACTTTCAGCCTCCACGTCATTAAGACTCTCCACAACTTTATTCTCTGCAAAAGACAAGACTTGTGGGGTCACAATGAAAATCTGAGGAATACTGTTGGCAGTGAGCATCCCTTCAGTTTCTCAATCTTTGGCCTGCCTGTCAAGCAGTCAGTGAGCCCGACGCCTGTGACTATATCCGTCAGGATTCTCTCGGGCTTCTGTTTTACCAATGGTAGGTAAAACACTGGGGAAATAAACTACCGATTCCTTATAGTCGTTGTTATTTTAGATCAGATTGGGATCTCGGAGGCAAAAGATAACTGCATTTTATTATTAGATTCAGAATTTTGAGGAAGCTGCCATTGCTGTTTGGTAAACAACAACATGGACGCCTTGCATGTTGTTGTTTACGTCCAGAAATTTTGCGCATGCGCACAACGCTGGAGGTTAAATGTTCTTTTTAATGAATAAAATTAAAGGCAACATTGCATCTTTTTATAAGTTAAGCTGACATTGCAGGATGTGAAACATGGACTCCATAATGAAGTGCTGCTGGTGCCTCATTTCTCAACAGCGTAACCCTGGAATGACCTTTGTTAGAGGCATAACAGTTGCAAGTTTGTTTCTGAACTTGCATCACGAGTGCAAAACACGTTTAGATGCTGTTACCGTAGAGGGTGACTGCTGAATGGTTAATGCCAAGAACACTGTAAGGAGAAAACTGTTGAAACAACCTTAGAAGAAAGAAGCAGCGGTGCTGCTCACTGAAAATAGAAAACATAACTTAAAGCAAATGAAAACTTCAATACCTCAAAAGAAATCTTATTTTTTATCTAGTTTCCAGGGGAAACATCTTAGTGCACCTAAAGTAAGACAAACTAACAGATAACAGGTTGCAGTCAATGATTATTGAATATAAACAAAAAATTACTTCACTTATGACGAGACATTTTCTCCCAAGGAAACTAACATTTTTTAATCAATATTAAGGAATTATTGACTGAGAACAAGCTTCTATTTCAAGTTAACTGAGACATTTTCACTAGAAACTAGACCAAAAATACTTGGTAAAATTTGGTGTTTATGCAATGCAGATCGGTTAATATTCATGAGCCACAAAACATCATTGCTAAAGACATTTAAATAACATATGGAAGCATATTAATGGAAAAACAGTGAGGAAAAGGAAATAGATCTGTTTCCTTAAAAACTATGAATATTCAGTGGATGATGAGCTACATGCCTCCAACATGTTGATGCAGTATTTCATGCAAAAGGAGCCCAGACCAAGTATTGAATCTTTATATTATGCAGACATATTTGTCTTTTTTAAATAAGTAATAATAAAATTAACTGAAACTGAGTTTGAATTTTCATTGTAAGATGACCAGAAGTGAATGTTTGCATTTTGATCTGTTGCATAAAGAATAAAAAAAAAAGTAATTTGTAATTTAATTGAAAACAAAGTAAATGCAGAGATGTTAAAAACCTGTCTGAGATGAGATCTTCTGATTTTGTTTCACACCATTTTATTTGAAATGTCTGGATCAGTGTTGAAGTTTCAGATCTGCCTGAAGTGATAAACTTCTCCTGGATACCAGAAAGAAAACTTGTTAATTTGGACTGTTGAGAAGAGTCCGGACTTTTAGAAAAGAAGAAACATTTCTGCTCCCGCTCCCTTTCAGCTGGCCATGACTCATCCCAGTCACCACCTCAACTTTGGCATGAATCCCGATCACGCCCGCAACTCGCTGTCCAACTGCGGCATCCGCCAACCGAAGTACGGCGACAGGAAGGTCCACCACATGTACATGAGGAAAAAAGGTGGGATTTACCTCATTTATGCTTGAAACCAAATATTTTCTCTATAAAATATAAAAAGACGACATTTTCTCTTTTGTCTGACATTAAATATTTAACAAGATAATTCTTTTGTGTGTTAGATCAATTAGGTTCATGATTGGGAATAAAATTATCTGTATCATGAGAGAAAAACTTCCATTAAAGTTCAGATGATTATATATACTGAAATCACTTTAATTATAAGTAATTTAGATATGACTGTTTAAGACTGAAAAAACACAAAATCCTACCAAGTGTTTTGGTTCAGGTTCGATGCAAATATCTTAATAGACTTAGTAACTATACAGCAAAATATAGAAACTTGTTTTAAGAAAATAATTTATTAATATTGATTAAAAAGTACTGAATCCATTTGCGGATAATATAACTTATAACAAGTCAAACTGAAGTCATTTGCCAGTTGAACTATTTACTTAAAATAAGCCTCTGCATTTTGCTGAAAAGTTACTTGTAAGTTAGTTTTTTAAGTGTACTAAAAACTAGACCAAAATATACTTTGTAAAATGTTGTGTTTTTGCAGTGCACAGTGAATATTATGTACTTAAACTGCAAATATACCAAATCTTTTCTGGAAGAACTAGGGGCTTGTTTTAAGTCAATAATTTCTTATTATCGATTAAAAAAAGGGTACTAGTTCCAGCGGATGATTATTTTTGCCTTAATATTAAATTTTTCCAGGTTCTGCAGATGAAAGTAGTGCTTTTTCATCAGTATTATTTAAATCAAGCTCCTATATTTTGCTGAAAAGTTACTTTTAAATTAGTTCTATCTTGTTTGAGGTATTTATACTGAAAACTCAACCAAAAACAGTTAAAATGTAACATTTTGCAGTGTTATTTTGTAATTCCACAAAATCACTAAGCATATGTATGTAATCTGCTCCCTATCAAAGGTTTAGTCAGATTTAATGTCATTGATTTGGAGGGAAAATGATCTTTTTCTGTTTTATAGTGTAAGTAAATGTTTTTCCTTTCCTCCGTGATTAATAATTCCCGCCTGCGGGTCGTTTCTTTCCAGGAATCAACACACTGATTAACATCATGTCCCGTCTGGGTCAGGATGACCCGTCTCCTTCCAGGTAGGCAGCCTGCTGGCTCGTATCTGCTCGTACCATCATTGACCACAGGCGCAATCAGAGCGCCCATTTGTGTGATTAATACGCCCGGCAGGCCCGCTGACAAGAAAATTAACTCTAGCTGTGGGACGGAGGCGTACCTGAGGGGGGATGAAATGAGCTCATTGCTCTGGACTGAACTTGATCAAATCTCCGCCCTTTTCTCCAGGATCAATCACAACGAGAGGCTGGAGTTCCTGGGCGACGCTGTTGTCGAGTTCCTCACCAGGTGAGACTCTCTGATGGACGCCGGCGCTAATCAAAGCCGACTACAACGCCGTCTTTTCTCTTCCCCTCTTTTGTCTTTCTCATTGTCTGCCTTCCTTCCTGTCTGTCACAGGACAGACTGCTCTTCTCCATACTTGTGCCTCATTAAGACGCTGATTCACTGGTAATTGGAACTGGGATGTTACTTGAACAGCCAGAAATTGTCAGTGATGACTTTCAATTAGCCGACAACACAAGTCACTGCCATTAAAAACAACAAACCAAGTATTTCTAGTGCAGATATCTTAGCACACTTTAATTAAAACAAAACTAACTTACAAGTAGTTTGTTTTGTTTTTTGCAAGAAAAGGAACTTTTTTTAGTCGATAATTTCTTAATTTTGATTTAAAAAATTGAGTTTATTTCACTTTTATTAAGAAATTATTGACTAAAAATAAGCTCTTGCATCTTCCTAAAAAGTTGTTTGTTAGTTTTGTGTTGTTTTGAGTAAACTAAGATATTTAGAGTACAAATTAAACCGAAAATGCTTGGTAGGATTTTGTGTTTGTGGATTGCACAGCTGTTATTAATCTCACACTGTAACAACAGCAGCAGCTTTTTATCCTTACAGTGGCCACAAAAGAGCAAATTCATAACTTAGTCACTGAAACATTGAGTTCTGCACTAAAGCAATGAGTCAGTTCTTTTTCTTTTTCTTTTTGAAGCTGCCAGACTTTCTTGTAATCTTTTGAAGTAATCTTAATTATCAGCTTTTCTAACTTCCTGCAGTTTCTCTTTAAACTTTGGTGACTTTCTCAGTCATTTTCCAGGCCAGGACCTTTGGGACAAATTTATTTTCTTATCTATAAATTGACTGTTTTACATCGACGTTCCTTAAATTTGAGTTGGTGGAACCTGCAGAAACTCGCACAAAGAGGCATCAAACATATTAAATGTTATTTTCTTGTTCTTGTCGTTACAACTTTTCTCTACAATAAAGTATTAAGGCCACACTAAAAATATTTTTTAAACAAATAAATATGAGAATAAAGTCATAATATTACAATAATAAAGTCGTATGTGGATAAAGTAGAAATAATACGAGATTAAAGTCATGTTAAGATTTTTTTCTGATAATATTGTGACTATTATTTCAACTTTACTCTGAAAATCAACAAAAATCCACATTGACTTTATAGTAAATATATTGTAAATTTAATCTATATATGTAATATATAAATATATACTATATTTATATTTAATATATAAAAATATTTAATATAGAGATGTTCAATATGTTTCTTTTTCTTGCTGTAATGGGTTTTCCCTTTGATGAAGTATTAGGAAAATATAAAACTAAAAGAATATATTTATAATAATGCAACTTTATTCAGGTAATATGTCTATGTTCTAATATTAATATTTTTGCATTATTATTACCTTTTTCTTGTAATATTACAAATTTTCTTTCTCATAATATTATGACTTCATTCTGTGTTTTTGGGAATTTCCAAATATTCTGTTTTATACTGTTGAATAATTAAAAGATTTAAACAGTTAAGAATAAAAAAAAATTATCTTCTATACTGGATTTTCAGTTGGTGTCTAACCTGTCCTGAACCTGACTGCATCTGTTACATGACAATGATTTAAAACACTTTTAAACATGGTGGTGGTTCAACATTTACAGCCAAAAAACCAAAGAACTGCTGATTCAGGCCACTTAAGCAGAAAATACAAATATATGTGTATTTTCTGCTTAATGTAAAGCATAATCAAGTTCCTATGTTACCATCAGATGTTATAAAAAAGCCATATATCTCAAATATTGCTTCAAAGATACTTTACTTCCTGATTTAAAGTTTTGAATTTGGGTCTCTGTCTCTTTAAACACTCCTGCTCTTTCTGAAGCGCCGCCTTCAGGAAGTTATCCCAACATGGCTCCTCCATTAATCCCTTAATGGTGTTTTTACCAGCGATTCTCTGGTAAATAGCTGCTATAATGAGCTCAGCAGGTGTTTGCTAATTGCTGCTGGCTAGTTTGAAGGAGCTGAGTGGGGAAGGAGCTTTGCCTTGAAGGCGGAGCTGCATTGTTTGAGAAATTAAAAAATTTCTCAAACGTGTTTGCTGAAGGAATAGCATAAAAAATGTTGATTTTTACATGATGCCGCTCCTTTAAAACAAAGTCTGTTTGCCTGGAAGAGAAACAAAGTCTTGTAATTAATTTTCCACATTCTGTACTTCCAACCTGCATCAACACCAGATGAATTAACTGCTTGAAAGCAGATAAAAACTTTTATTTTTCCCTCTGCTCCTGGAACGAAAAGAAAAATGTTTTTATCCAAAAACTCCAATTTGTAACCCGCGTCGCCAACACTTCCACATCAGTGAGCGGCGAGGATTAAAGTCTAATAGGAGCTCCTTGTGGCACACAGACTGCTGCTCTTTATGCAGCGACAAGCAGGTCAGTTCGCCTCCGTTTCTCAGGATATCTCCGGGCATGTTTCAGCCTCTTCCTCCTCTCCTACCCGTCTTTGATTGTTAGTGTCTGACGAGACATGCTTGGCCTGCGCCCTGGCCCTCTGAATTATTTATCAGCCCCTTGTCCAGTTAAATGGCTACAGCAGATCCAGCCAGCTGTCTCGTGCGCGTTGCCCTTGGAGGGTCCGCGCGCCTCTGCTGTCCAGCCAAAAGAACATTTTGCACATGCGAACAGCCCCAAATGTAGCGAGGGAGTCGGTGCCGAACAGAGGGGACCTACAAGATCGACAGATGATGTAAAAAAAATAAATCCAAGTGCAATCCTCTGAATAAAGCTTTTTTCTCTTCACATAAAATTTGTTCGTGTTCAGGTAAGATTTTGAATTAGTCATCATTATTAAAGATGAATGTCCTCAGAAGAAAACTTTGTTCATCATTTTCACGTAAAAAAGACACACAAACCTATTTTTAACAAGACTTTTCTGAAAATGTCTTGATTTATTCAATACACTGCAAAAACACAAAATATTACCAACTATTTTTGCTTCATTTCCAATGCAAATATCGTGAAGTAATACAAAACTAACAAGTAACTTTTCAGCAAGATAGAGAAGCTAAAATCTTCAACATTTACAAAATGAACATTTTTGCAAAACCACAATCTATTTACTTTTTTATACACTGCAAAAACACAAAATCTTACCAAGTACTTTTGCTTCATGTCCAAATATCTTAGTTCACTTGAAATTAGACAAAATTGTGTTACAAGTAATTTTCAGCAACATTTATGAGCTTGTTTTAAGTCAAGGTTTAAAAAGCAGATTTTACAGATAAAAAAAGACACAAATTTTGTTTGAATCCTAAAATTTGGATATTTAAGTTTTTAACCAGATTAATATAGAAATCAATCAAGTCTATTTGTTTTGAACATTTCAGCAGCAAGGCGGTCCAAAGTTAAAAGTCATAATAAACACAGAAGATGTATTAAGTTATAAAGAAAACACCATACCATGCTCTATTTCCATTGGCTGATTCTTCAGATAAAAATCATATTTTTTGAGCCCTGAAGTTTAGATATTTTACTCTTTAACAAGATTCATCTAAAAATGTGACAATATACTCCATACACTGCAAAAACGCAGTCTTACCAAGTATTTTTATTTACTTTTTAGCTCAAATGTTAGTTCAAAACTAACTGACAAGTAACTTTTCAGCCAGTAATATTAATAAAGTGTATTAATAAAGTTCCACTGGGAGGTTACTTAACTTAAAAATGACAATAATGTCTAAGTGGAAAGAAACTACCAGTAGAACTAATTCTTCTAAAAAAAAACATTGTTGAAATTTTTTTACTAATAAGCTCGAGTTTATTGTGAGTTAATTTTGTCTTATTTCAAGTGGGTTGAAATATTTGCATTAAAAGCTAGAATTTTTTTTTCTTAAGATTTAGTGTTTTTGCAGTGTACAGCTGAAACTTTGTCTCCGATGTGATTATTTTCAATTACTCCAAGTGTTTGTTCCAGGTTTTCTCCCATCTCCTGACAAATGGAGCTCTTGTGGGGTTTGCAAACAACAAAAACAAAAAAAAACGGGACGCCACCTGCTTACCTCTCTTAGCGCTGATTGGAAATGACTGAAAGAAATGGCCTGTTTTAATTCAAATGAAATCAAATGACACGCGGCGGTTACGGAGAGGCTGCAGCGTAATGAAAATGGAACCTGCTCGCTGTAGAACCCAGCTGTGGATCCGCTCAAGCGTCCTCAGCCGTCTCTTGGACCCAAACCGGGCCTGGAAGGGAGAGGCTGCTAATCTGTGTTGGAGGCTTTCATTTGGTTTTCTTGGAGACTGCAGCCAAGGTTTCCTTATTTATCAATACTTTGACAAAAATGTTTCCTTTATGTACTATATTTACTGCGTTTGGAGTTAGTTTGACAGTTTTCCATCATTAAATGTGAATTTGCTACAAAAACACAACATTTTAAATGTTTTTGAATGAGTTTCTAGTTTCCAGACTCCAAAAAACATGAACTTATATCCAGAAAAATCGCAGTGGGCCTGTTTTTAGAAGCAGTTGAGACCCAAACGACCATATAAAACTGTAAAAAATTTCAGTTTTTGATAATAGATCTCCTTTAAAAGGAGTTACCAAAACAATGTAGTCTTTTGATGGCTGGTGTAAATCACTTCCTGTAAAAGCAAAGGTTTTTGATTTGGGTTCCTGGAAAAGAACAGAGATGACCATTAAAAATGGATTCCTCTCCGTCCGCAGTGTTCACCTCTACTACCTGTTCCCCAGTCTGGAGGAGGGCGGCCTGGCCACCTACAGGACGGCCATCGTTCAGAACCAGCACTTAGCCATGCTGGCCAAGGTGAGCGTCTCTCTGCAGGTGAGAACTGCACCTGTCTCCCTTCCTGGTTTTATGACTCTGCTGCTTTCCGAGTGCTCACAAGGGGAAGGAGTAATTTTGTCATCCTGCCATCCATACCCACGCATTTATTTATTTTTTACCCCCTCAGGTTTGTAATTGGAGTTAAAAGGTTGTTGTTTTGGAGACTAGTGCAACCGGGGTCCCTGCAGACCCCCGGAGGTCTTCCTGAATCACTCTTCAGCTCCTGTTATCGCTCTGCTTCCACCCCTCCTCCTCCTCTCTCGCTGGCAGCCCAGCCACACTCACTGGCACGGTTTGTAAAGAAACACAACAATAATCGTCCCGTGATGTGGAGAAACCAATTAAAAACTTCAATCTTTCATGTCGCTCCCCGCTGAATACAAAGATGCAGCCGCCCGAATCTGCATTAGCGCCGTGTAGCAGTTTGGCTTGTTTCAATTTGCCGCTCGCGCTAAAGTGAGTGTGATACAGCGTTGGGCGCTGCCAAGTTGTTTACCAGGGCTCCTCTGAAGCCGTCTGCTCAAGAACACTCGCAATTATCTCCCAGAAAGTATCTTCAGCGAGCACTGCCACAATCCGCCACTTCACTCGCAGGGCTTAAAAGTCAGAGCGGGTTCCCTGTGAGTTGGAGTATTTGTGAATTGTGATTTAATTTGTGTGTGTGCAATCACTAGGAGTATGGGAGGTTTGGGGGATGGGGATGGCTGGTACCACCAACAGTTATCAGCCGTAATTAAAAAGCACCCGGCTGCTTTTTGTCTCTGCAGCGCCGCCAGGAAAGTCAAGTTGGGCTATTTTTCTCTTGGCTGGTAGATGACTTGCAGAAAGTTTGACTGACCTCCGTCGCTCAGCAACACAAACTCATTTAGATTACATACAATCTGTGCGGATCCGGAGCCGCTTTGCTGCTTTTCTTCTGGATTCCAGTTTCACTGCATCAGCTTTGGCTTCACAAGCTGCATTTCCATCACTAATGTGGGAATGAAAACAATTAATCAATAGTGGTTTATTACATTAAAATTTGTTCCAATCGTCCAATTTGACCTTCTCTGAATGTTGTAGTTTGGTCACCATCCATCAGAGGGCGCCACTAGTCATTGAGCCAGTTGATACAGAAACAAAGATGGCGGGGGCATTCCAGAACAGGAAAGAGAAACGGTCCAAACAGAGTCCAGTTTGGGATATAAAATGCAAAATCTGTTTTGTTATTTTTTGTAAATATGTCTAATTTTAATACACACAATAAAAAATTTTTTATACATAGTTGCGTTTTCTAAACTGGTGTTCAGCAAAAAAAATGTTTTTATTTCCTTTTCAGCATGACTGGAAAACCTGTCACAAGACTTTTCATTGAAAAACAAGAGTTTTTTTCAAAATGGTCATGTTTCCATTAAGCCAATTTCTTATTGTAATTAATTAAAATGTCTTAAATTCATGCATCTAAAATGAATTTAAATTGAATCCATTTTCTCTATTTCTGAATAGAAAGGCTCTGTCTTTATTGTGACTAAGTTAGACCGTGAACGGGCAGCATAATCTTATTCTTACGAAGGTCACAACTGTTTCACATTTCATCTGTCGTTTTCCAGTGAACCATTTTATTCCTGCTTCATGCCACAGCTGGACAGCACATGAGCACATCCGTCAGTGCCATGAAGTCGAACCTTTTCCAACCAGAGCAATCAACTTCTCATTTCCCTCGAGTTTTTCCCCCTCTAATGCTCTTTTCCTTCATGAAAATCTGCAATGTTGTTGTTTTTTTTCCCTCCTTCGTCCTGCGAGCAGCTACTGCTGAGGCGTCAGTGGGCAGCTTGCTGATATGAGTGCATCTCTTTTCCAGAAGCTGGAGTTGGATCGCTTCATGCTCTACGCCCATGGACCCGACCTGTGCCGGGAGTCGGACCTTCGACATGCTATGGCCAACTGCTTTGAAGCGCTCATTGGTGAGACTCTCCTGAGATAAAAATGGAAGAAATGATTGATGGTAAAGAATTTGGGATAAGCTAAACGTTCAACTTCACTCCTAGGACTGAGTCTGTTTTCAGATCTGATAGTCCGGTAAACTTAGTTCACTGTTGTTCACTTTCACCCTGGACTGTTCCCCTCCTCGCCTGTGGGGGCGCTGCACCAAGAACCACTGAAGGAAACAACATGAAAACCATGAAACTTAACTTTCTGCTCTAAAAAATGAAAACAAAAATTGGCAAAAGACGATGAGTCCTTCCTCCCGCTAGCAATTCCCTTGCATGTTTTTATGTTGTGTTTACCCAGAATGCACTGCTCTGTAGTCCACTTTCTGCTTTTGGAGCCGTCTCCAGTCTGCTTGGTGTTCACATATTCATTTGAAAGGCACCACAATTCACTTCAACTAAACAGAGACCGAGGTTTGTAGTCTGATTACACTTCCACAAACAAATGGACTGGAGACTACAGAGCAGGGCATTCTGGGTAAAAACAATCAAAACAAACACTTTAGCATTAGCAAAAGTGACTCATGTTTTTTATTTTTTATTTTTTTTACCAAAGACAAAGCAGAAATCCTAAACCTGCTAAAATCGGACTTTATTTTTGTTTACATTAAGTGAAGAAGGAAGTTGAGCTCTGTGTCTTCTTCTGTGGTTTTCATGTTGTTTCCTACAGTGATTCTTGGTGGTGCACACCTGCAGTAGAGGAGGGGAACAGGTTTCTTACTTAGTTTGGTTTGTTTGACCAAAGCAGCTAAAAATGTAACAAATGTCTTTAATCAAACAAAGTCTACTGAACTATCAGCTGTGAGAATGTTCAATAAAAGAGATGCAGGAATCCTACTGCAGGTTCTGTGTACGCTTTCAGTTATCTTTCTGTTAATCCTTGAAAACGTTTACCTGGCTGACCTCTGAAAGGTCTCCAAATCTCTGCTCTCCTGTCCCACACGCGGCGCCGCCTCCCGCCTCAGTCCTTGCTAAGCCTCGCTTGTGGGGAGCTGCTCTGGTCTTATCGCCATCTCGGCGCAGTCCAGCCATCTCTGTCGGATGAAAGATGCAGAAAGTGGGTGGCTTTAAAGAGATCATCTCCGCGCCTCCCCTCTGCGCTGGAGAAAAGCAGCAGGCGGGGAATGTGCTGACTGGCACCGTGGCCCCCCTGTCGGCTCTGGGGTCACACCGTTCCCTTGGCGGGTTCATTATTGGCTCAGTCGAAGTGAAGAATAAACGGGGTGCCTATTCTGAAGGGGCGAACTTCCCTGTGGTGACGGCTTTGGGTTACTAACTGAAATATCACCACACGTCTCCTCTCCCCTCTCGCCAGCCCCCTTCTTCTCACCTTCTTTTTAGCTCAAACGCCTCCTTTCCATGCCTACACCTACCTCTGATCTTGACTTTTTGGGTGTAGTTAATGAGTCACTCCATCATCTTGAAGCTGTTCTCCAACAGAGACGTTTAGCTGCAGCACTGCGGAAATACAAACTCTTACTGAGTATCTTTATCTAGTTTCTTGTGCAAATATCCTAGTACTCTTGAAATAAGACAAAACTCAGAAGTAATATTTCAGTAAATACAGGTGCTTCTTCTAAGTAATGACAGTTAAAGGAGTTTCTATTCAAAATTCACATTTTGCTCGTTTTTGCTTCTAAAAACAACCAACAAGCCATTTATATGGTGTCTGGAAAATTTGCCTTTTCAAAAAGTCACATTCGACAGGTTCTGTGCCGATACCTATCAACCCAGGCGGAGCTCCAGCACATTTGTTCAGCTGGTTTTATTGCTGTACAATGGCTGCTGGAAGAGGCAAGTGTTTTGTTGTTGACTTGCCATCCAGAAGCCTCTTGCTGCCTTTTTGTTGGTTCAGCAGGAGGCGCCACTTCTGCTTTTCGAAGATAAACAGTTGTATATTTACACGTCTGTTTGGAGCCATTTTCAGATGTGGGTGTAAGCATTGAGTTGGGGGGCGTGGCCAGCAGCCGATTTGGATTTAACAGCTCATCCTGACTAAAATCAGTTATCGAAGAATGAGTTTGTGCAAGAAACACAAGGAGCATGTTTTGTATAGGCCATGAACCTATCATAACCTGGTCAAGGAAACATCACCTTTAATATTTCAACATGGTAAAAATGTCGAAGTGAAATAATCTTCCAGTTGAACTATAACTTTTTTTAAAATAACACTGTTAAGTGTTAATTTAAAAAGCTCCTACATCTTACAGTAAAGTTACATCTCAGTTAGTTTTGTTTTAAATGTACTAAGATATTTGCAGCAGAAACTAGATCAAAATACTTGGTAAGATTTAGTGTTTTTGCCATGAGTAAAACAGCTGCGCTCACAGATGTGTTGTCGTTTCTGTCGTGCGGAGAATTGACGGGATGCGACGGCCATAATATTCCCAGAAAGCTCCGGCGGCCTGGCAAACGTGTTCTCTGACCTTTGTTTTATTTGTTTCCGCGCCGCGGTGACTGTTGAACCCGGGCTGTGTTGGGAATGACAGATAATCTCCTGTTTTGCATGGACGAGGCTTCCTCTCCCTCTCCCACCTCGAGGCAGGGCCGTTCTCCTGCTCGAGACGGAGCGAATGAAGAGGGAGAGAAAGGAGTGGAGGAATCTGCAATGCAAATAGCTGCCCTGCAACCCTGAATAATTCAAAGTGTTGAATGGAAATCTTGCTTTTCTGATCCCCTGTCATTAACTTCTGCCGGAGTGGGCCATTCTCATTCGGGCTCTTTTGGCCTACACTCCTCCGTTTTTCCTTCCTCTACCTCCTTCAGAGCCACTTTCTCGCCTCTCCGGTCCTCCTGGCTGATGACATGGCGTCCACATCCTTAAAAAGTCTTAAATTCATGTATCTAAAATTAAGGCCTTAAAATGCCTTCATATACATTGAAAAAGGTAAGTTGGCCTTAAATTTATGGAGGCACAACTATTTAATCTCATATATTTAGTATTTTTTCTTTGCTGTCAGGCAAACATTTGAAGCAGTTTCTACTGCTAATATACCATTGATGGCTAGCTAAAAAACAAGCTAGCTCACTTGTGCACTTCACCTTCTTAAACATCTGTCATAAATTAAGTTCAAATTTATCACAGATTGACTGAATCATGTTCATCTTCACCATTGGATCACTTTGGTTGCCGACCTGTACAACATTACATTCATTCTGTGCAAAAAAATGACTTAAGACTGTTTCTTTTGCACATTTCCTAAATGACTCAGGTCTTAAATTTCATTCATAGTGATTTTAAAATGTTCAATTTAATGTTTACTAAAGTAAGACCTCAAAATGTTGGTCTTAAATCACTAGTCTGCCAGGTAGCAATGGTGTATCACTAGCTGTGTTAGCAAGAACCAGGGAGGGAGAAGAGAACCAGGCAATTAACCAAAAAACAATGTAGCTAGGTGGGAAAAGCTATTTAGCTAGCATGCTTGCTTTTTTGAGTCCCATCATGATTTAAATGCCACTTTGGATCACCTGTGTGATTCTACATTCATTCTGTGCTAAAAGTTTGACACTACCTGGATAAAGGTTGTTTATTTTCATTTCTGACACTAAATTTAATCCATAATGGTTTTAAAAAGTCTTAAATTTGAATTGGTGGAACCTGTAGAATCCCTGCTTTAGCGATTCTGTTTGTAAAAACTTGTGGGAAGAGAAAGAGGAGGAGGAGGAGAAGCTGAGAAAGGCCTGCTCTGCTGTTTTATTTAATTTTATTTTTTGGACCTAATTTCCTGGTACAGTTGATGTGTGGATTACGTGCTGCCAGCAGCCGTGGGGGATACAGATGGTGAACCTTTGTGAGGCCTCTCTAAGCTCTTCCCTATTAAAAGAACACAGAGGAGGGATTATCTCTCACTTGCTGAATATCAGATTCATACACAATGCGCTCGGTGGATCCTCTCAAGCTCTGCTGCTGCCTTTGTTAATTGCTACAGTCTTTCTTTTCTCCTTTGTTTCTGCGACTCATCTCTACCTCCTGGTCTGATTTTTCCACAAGTAAAGATATAAAAATTAAAAGGTTCCTCCTACGCAGGCTGGGAGAGTCCAATGATTTGTTGTTTTCAGGTGTGGAGAAGTTTGGAAACAGAACATTATTGTCTCCTTCCTTTCCTCCTTCCTTCTTTTCTTTCTTCTCTTGTTTCCTGTCCTTACTCTTTCTTGATCCATCTTTCTGTTGCTGTTTTTTCTTTTTCCACTCTTCTTTTCATTCAACAATTTGTCCTTCTACTTTTTGTTTTTCTCTGCTCTTTCATTTCTTCTTGTTTCTGTTCTTTCCTCCTTCCTTCAGTTTTTCTTTTCTCGTTGTTTACTTGCTTCCTTCCTTTTTTCCCATCTCGACTCATTGTGTCCTTCCTTCAGTCCTTCCTTTTTTTGTCTTTGCTTGTTGCTTTCTTGTTTCCTACCTTTGTTTTGTTGCTTGTGTCCTTCTCCTTTTTCAACCCTTCCTTCTTTTCTTTCCTTCCTTTCTTACATTTTTAACCATTGTTCCTTTATCTATTCATTCCTTCCTTCCCTTTCCTCCCTTCCTTCCTACACTCATTCTTTCTTAATTTCTTCCCTTTCCTACCCATCCTGCCTTCCTTCCTTTCCTTACTTCCTATTTCCATCCATCCTTCCTTGCCATCTTTATCCCTCCTTTGTTCTGTCATCCTTCTTTTCTTTCCTTCCATCTGTTCTTCCTCCCTTTCTTTCACTTCATGTTCTTTCCTTTTCCCCACTCTCCTTCTCTTTTTTGGCTTCCTTTCCTTGCTTCCTTGGATAATTTTTCCTGTCCTTTTTTCTCGCCTTCATTCATTCCTTCCAGTTCTTTCACTTCTTTCTATCTTCTCCTTCCATCCTTCCTTGTATCCTTCCTTCCTAAACCTTGGTTGTCGTGGTAACATATGCCCTCCATTAGGTCTTTAAATCTAAAAACTGACCTCTGACCTTCAAATTTCTACATGAAAATCCTGAAATCAAAACACTTATTTACACGTTTCCGTTTTACTCTGCATTTTCATCCAGGTTGTGTCTCAGTTTGTGTCTCAGTTTGCTGAGCCGAGCAGCGAGCGGCTTAATATGTGATTTGATGGATTAGAGCCGGAGCGTTTCTGAATAATTCATCCCGGGTTATTAATGCGACCGTCGGTTTTTATTGGTCACAGGAAAACCCACAGACGTCCTTTCTGAACGCAACGTCGCTACAGTCTCCATCTGACTGTTGCTAACGTGAGAAAGTCACATTTCCGACAAATTTTTCTCTGTTAAACATTCATTTTTGTCATCGTCGCACATTAAACTAAGCATGCATAAGCAAAGGGACATAAAACATCTCCAAAAGATACAGTTTAGATATGTTTTATTTTGGTTTTGATGCCAACAGATGTGCGTACCATCGATTTAAAAAAGTTACTTATGGTTTAGTAGCAGTGCAATACTAGCTTACAAACATCCTTTGCTAAACTGTGGTAGCAGACAGACACGGATAAATCAGAAAATTAATATAGTTCCTAAGTATGTGGAAATATCCAAAGCATTTGTCTTTGTTTATAGAAACATTTGACAGTTGTTTTCCAGACATTCATTTTTACAACTCATAGCTGCCGGCTTTTATAAGGCCTGTCCTTATTGGCTACGGCATGCGATAAGGAACAAAATAAACATCGACCATTAAATCAGAAGGAAATATACTATCAAAACACACAAACGTGTATGAACAATCTGCACAATTTGGAAATTCTTTTAAAATAATTTACTCTTCGTTACACTGCGATTCAGATTTTGGCCGATATCAATTGTTTTGACTAAAATGTTGCTCAAAATATGAGGAAAGTTGCTGAACTGGCAACAGTTTGGTAACTGTTGGTGACTGTAATCTTGCAGACATGACCTTGTGGGCCGGTTTGTCTGTGGTTGATTTTTAGACTTTTGCCAAGGTAGAAAAAAATTGGCCAATCACCAATCTCCCAAAATTAAAGAAATCGATGAAGGCGGAGGAGGTTTCCTTTTCATTTCAGTCACTCTCTGAGTCAAAAAAAATCCAGCTAAGGAGGATTTTAGAGGGCAGCATGCGACTTCAGACAAAGCAGTCTGACTCGTTCTTATCTCAGGTTTTCGACTGTTTTTCGATCTGATCCCGCTGCAGGATGAGCTCTGTAATTGCCATGCAAGGCGTTTGGTGCGTTCATGTGTATTCAGGGCGTCGGCTGCAGCTTCACAGGCTGATGGGCCGGACTGAGCGGCGGCCCAGATCTGCGTTTAATGATTGCAGCGTTTGATTGGATCGCTTTGGGCTGCACTTTTTTGCACAGGCAGTCGTCTTGTCAGGAGTTTTCTGGCTCTGCACCTCATCTGGGTTTCTCCGCTGATTGACACCAAAAGGTGTTGCTTTTAGATTTCTAATACCTTCTGAAACCTCTGGAGGATGTTTCAGTTTCTCCTCCTGCTTACTTCCACTTTCTGCTTTCAGTCAGAAAAAGTTTTCAAAATCAAATCAGAAATATTTTCGCCAAATTCGCTTCGTCATCAGAACACAAGGAAAAGTTGCGCGCCTGTTTCCCTCCAGCCTTTAACGTCACTTCGTTTTTAGTTGTGAGGGATTCTTGAAGGAAACTTCAGTTCTCCGGCGCAGGAGGGAGAGTTTATTCCTCCCACAGCCGCTCTCCAGTGGAAACATCTGCTGCAGACCGCAGAGCTCTGGTGGCCCGCGCGGTCGGCCTCGCTCAGACGGCCACACGGCTTCTGATGCACATCTGCAAGACGTTTGGTGGCTTTCTGTGTTTGTGGACTAAAGAGAGCTGATGATTTATCAGCTCTGATTTATTTTAGGGCAGGAAATTGCTTTTTTTGGCTGATAGCTGCACTCCCTTCTGCCATTTCCAAGCTGCGCCTTCTTTTAATTTTACTCTTTAGCAGGTTCTGAAGTAGCTTAAAGCCAAAGTTGAGACTACTCAAGCAAATCAAATAAAAACAAGAAAAGAACAAAATTTCTGTGTGGAAAAACAAACTCCTCCCATAGGGTCAGAGAGGAAATATTGCAGCTAATAAAAGGCTCTTAAAAAATGATTATACCTCAATAAAAACAGAAGTTTTAACAGTTTGCAGCTGAAGATAAGGTCAAGTTTATTTGTTTAGCACATTTCAGCAGTTCAGATTGTTTTACACCATATAAATATAACAAGAACGTCATAAAGTTACCAACAATAAACATTGCATTTCAAATCATAAACACATCAAACATGTCGAGTTTCTAGTGGAAATATGTTATAAAACTTGAAATGAGATAAAACTACCTGATAAATAACTTTTCATCTAGATATATCAGCTCGTTTTAAAGCAATAAATCATTAATATTGATTAAAAAATAGTTTAAGTGGCAGATTATTTCACTTATCAAAAAAATGTCTTAGTGAAATAATCTGCCAATGAAAGTAGTACTTTTTAAAATCAATATTAATGAATTATCTTAAAAGAAGATGCTATTCCTGGCTGAAAAGTTACTTGTAGGTCGTTTTGTTTTATTTCAAGTTTTCTATCATTTTTACACTAGAAACTTGACTAAAATACTTGGTAAGATTTAGATTTTTTGCAGTGTAGACCCAGATTTCTTACCTGATCTCCATTTTCAGTCTCTAATAACTGAAGCTGTTTTCTGACTGTGTTAAGATGTTGAACCACTTACTTTTTTAAAGACCGTTTATTTATAGTTATTTTATCTACAAATGTAAGTCGCCCTGGAATCTGTTGCGCTTCCGTTCGTAGAGTTCAGGTTGAACCCGTTTCCGAAGCCGATGAAGACCAAATCCTGGTGGATTCGTCTCGATTTATTAAACTCCATCAACAGAAAAATGTTTCATTTTCATAAAAGGCGTTAAAAGTCCACACACTGACTCGCGGGGGAGAAGAAGGAAGTTGTCGCCTTTCATTAAAATTCACCGACATTCCTGCAAAAGCTGTGAGTGATTTCCCATTTTGCTTCGAAGAAAGCAGACAAACATAAACATGCTGCCAGAGTGTTTGTGTTTGTCTTCGTTGGAGGTAGTTTGTTTGTGTTTCTTTATGGTCGTGGTGATGCAGGCTGCATCTTCAGCTCCCTCTCTGTGTGTGCGTGTGTAAATGGCCTGTTAGCCATCTGAAAGCAGTCCCCCCTCCTCTTCCTCAGATGATGAATCCCTCATATGTTTTTGATGTCGGCCATGAAGGCAGTTTGCGCATTTAGGCCCCCGCGACCGCGCCGCGCCCCATTTCCACTCGCCTCATTTATGCTCATAATAAAAACCAGCGCGCGATTGTATACCCAATTTGCCAGGTGGTTATTGCTTTCTAAATTGAATGAGCCGCCCTAAGTGTGATGGTTTAGAAGTTGTGTGCAGCTTTAAGGCAGCGTGATGGTTCCACAGATTTCTGCAGGAACACAAGAGGAGCCGAATTACAGAAACAGGCATCAGGATGTGCCAGAGAGGCTGCGGCGTTATTCCCATCTGGAGAGACATTTCACATTCCTGCCTTCATCCCCGTCTTTCTCTTTGTATGCACATTGTGTTCCTTTTCACCTTGCAATTCAAGTTGGATCCAGGGAACATCTGCGCAGATCATTCATGTCCGAGTGTGTAGGCGCGCCACAAAGAGCGGAGCCCTCCGTGTGGGCTTGGATGTTTTATTTCACACAGATTCATGCCTGGACATGCAGTGTAGGCTCAGTTTGTGCCTCTTAATTCAAGCGTAAGGTTTGTGTGACCTCAACCACTTCCATCTCATTGTGGCCGATGCAAACGCCTCCTCCTGCTGGTGGGAGGGAGGCGAGTCCGCGCAGAAACCCCGAGGTCATTCTGCCGCCAAAAAGCAATAAAAATGTACTCCTGCTTTTAATAAAGCAATTATAACTCATTGCTGAGTTCAATTAATTTTCTGCTTCCCGTTTAGGAAAGAGATGAGGAATGTTGAACAGCAGAAATGAGGCGATTGGGTGGAAATTTGCTTCGTCCGTTCTGTTTTATTGTGTGACAAATCAGCACAATTTAGTGAATGAAAATCTAAACAAGTGGAAAAAATACATATTTATAGACACAGAGTCCCCTTTTACTCTGATACCCTTACAATAAATCCAAAACATACACCTAAAGAAACAAATAAAACAATTAATTTTTTAAATATTATCTAAATCAAGTTTTCAAAAGCAACACCCTTTGTGATTTCAATCTAAAAGTTATTACCTTTAAAAAAGTATTATATATCAAATCAATTCACTCATTTATCTCCAGTCTTCTTGTTAATCCAATTTCAGGTTATATGGTTTTTTGCTTCACCTCTCAAAGTAAATATTTATCTTGTTTTTTAGTTCAAGTCCTTTCAAATTCAGATGTTATTTTACTTTGAAGTCTGCCTCTAGGACTTCCTGTGTTTCTTTCTAAAATAAAACTGATTTATTTGAGATTGTTTGTCACAAAAATGCTTACAAAAGATACTTTATATATTTATATACTTTGGCTGCAAAGTGGCAAAAAAAATCAAAGTTTTGGTGTTTGGGGTGCAAACAATTAATCAACTTACGGTTAATATTATCACATTAAAATTAGTATCAATCGATTAACTAACAGCGTTCACTTCTTGCAGTGTAGTAGTTCGGCCGCCGACCAGCAGGGGGCGTCCTTAAGGAGCCGTCCATGAGGATTTAAAGATGGTGGCGGAGCGGTAAAGAAAAATGGCCCAAACAAGAGCCCGGTTCTGGATGTAAAATGGATTTTAAGCGGTTTTGTTTTGAAACATAAACACATTAAGTGCCATTAAAGTTATAACTTTCATTCAGCCGAGACGCGATGATGGAAAAGTGGAGGAAAAACCGAGAAAAACTGTAAGATGGAAATAAATACGGTTGATTTTGAGAGACGTGAATTAATGCACTTGATGGAGAAAATGTTAAATATTAAATTAAAAGCAACCATGGATGGTGCTTCTGTGTAAACATCTTTCTGGTTCAGATATTTTATTCTTTTCATCTTTTACTGTTTATTCAGCAACCTAAGAGGCTCCTGTTTTATTTCTGAGTTCAATACATTTTGTATTTAATACAACAAACACAAAATAATACGATTTAATGTTTTTTAATATAGCATTTTATGAAAAATGTAGTCCTTTGTTATGAAAAGACTGTTGTAAACTCAGATTTTTAAGAAAATGGTTGTTTAGTAACTTATTAATTAGTAATTGTATCATTATTTGCGTTTTGCATGAATAAATGTTGGGCTGTGTGTATTTCAGGGGCCGTGTATCTAGAGGGAGGCCTGGATGAGGCCCGGCAGCTTTTCGGACGACTGCTTTTCAACACTGAGGTGAGTGCAGAAACAGCCGTAAAGGCTCATTTCTTCATATCTCTCTTTTCTGAGAAAGCTGCCGTTGAAGATATTACCACCTCCTAATAATTGGCCAAACCTTCGCACTGCAGGTTCTGGCAAACCTTGAAAGATCTGGACAAAATCTGAGCATTGTTTGGAAAAAAACAAACACAATCCTGGAACAGAGATAATAGTTTTGTTGGACACCTGCTGTTGTTTGCATGTGCGTAAAACCAGCTAGCATGAATAAATGATGAAGGAAGCGGTGTTTGCGTCCGTCCCGGCCAGAATCGCGAGGAATCAATTAGCTGCGTACGACGCTAACTGGCGGTTCGGGTTGTTTGTGAGCCGCCCACCAACAGGAACCGGCGCAACCTGACCAGAACCAGGAGAAAACAAAAGAAGGAATCTGCAAGCAAGACCTTTTTATTCATATTGGTATCAGTGATGCTTATTTCTGTAGTGTGGATTACTTTCATCAGAATTGAGATCAATATTTCTGCATTAGGTTTAGCACTGGAGCTGATTTATTTTTGTGTGTGTGTTTTCCCTGAAGTTGTGAACACATTTGGCCTTGTTTGTCTCTGCTCTTGGCCAAATTTACTGCAAATCTCTTCTGAGTTTGTAGCCAATGTGTTGGAGTGCTGAAACGCCCTTGCTTCTGTTTTTACTGTCGTCGTGCGGCCATGGGAGTCGGCAAGAAAAACGATTTAGTTGAGGGCTGTTTGTATGAAGAGGGATTCGCTTGAACAGATTTTATTTCTTTTTTATTGAAGAGCTGCACAACAAATGTGGATGGGGAGGTAAAAAAGCCCTGAAATTTCTTTTTATTATAGGGTTAGGGAAACATACAAACATGAAAATATCTTATGAAAAACTGTATTAATGAACGCCTCGTTGATGGTGGGAGGCATTGTTGTCATAGTTGAGGGAGGATGCTTCCAGATGGACCAGAAAAACCCACAAAAGCAAACAGAACGGTTATAAATCAGTTTGTTTTCCGTATTTTATCTAATTTATGAAGATCAAAACTTTTTCTTTTGCCTTTGCTGAAACAGAAAAAACAAAATTAGTTAATGGTTTTTGCGCAGAAGTCTTGTTGAATCCATATTATGTTCTTTAAAGGAAACAACTTGACAATCACTAACCACAAAACGTTGTGGGCGATGATGGAGTTTCATCTATTCATCAACCTAACCACACCCACTGAGCAGTTTCCTACATTTTGTCACAAAACAACCAGGAACAAAAGTTGTTTCACTGGGATATGATGGGACAGAAGATGACACATTTGACACATAAGCAGAAGGAAAATATTGCTATTTTTCTCTGGTTTTTGAAAATAATACTGAAAAATGTGCTGTGCATTTGTTTATCCTTCCTAAGACTCGTCACTAAGTGTCCAGCTCACGTCCAGGAACTTTATGCATTCTTCACATTTTTTAATATTCATATATTTAAAATTAAGGCCTGAAAATGTCTTAAATTTATTATAAAAATGTAAGTTGGCCTTAAATATGTAGATTATGGATCTTAAATTTTGTTATTTCATGTAGTTTATTTTTCTTTGTAACTTATGAACACTAAAGTTTGAGTCACGCACAGACACTCATTCTAGGGAAAAAAGCTTGGCATGAATTTCATTCATAATGGTCTTAAAAAGTCTTAAAATTAGTTGGTGAAACCTGGAGAAACCCTGTACCCACTCAGGCTAATGCAAGCTAATGGCTATTTGAGGTCAAACTAATTGAAACTGAAGCTAACAGCTTCTCTGAATTATGCTAACTCTTATGCTAACTCTAAGAAAGCTGACAACTTCCCTGTCAGGCTCGATGCTAGCTGAACCGCGGCTATTCAGGATCAAGCTAACTTCTGAAAATGTTAACATTTTCTCCAATTGCTAGTGTGTTTTATTGCAACTTTCAGACAGAAAACAGACCAAATCGGTAGTTCTCTAGATCTTTTCTTGAAAAATATAGCAAATACTTCTCAGAGTTCTGCTTGGTTTAATTCACGTACCTAAGTCGGTCCTCATTGAGAGGAAGTTTTTCGTCCTCACGTAAAAACTCGTGGTCTTCAGGTTGAGCAATCGTCGCCTAAAGATGCAATCGTGAACCAATCTCTTTCTTTCCTTCTGTCTTGTTTCTCCAATCTTAGTTCTGTATGAAAGACTCTTCAAGAGTGTATTCTGTCACCAAAACCCAAATTTTTGAAAAACAAATAAAATTTTATATTGGCTAGTAATAGCATTTTAAAAATAAAAATTCCATTTGCACCTCACAGGACAATTGCATTCAGCAAGTGACTCACTTGTTTGCAACAAATCGAAAAGGAGTTGAGATCGTTTTCAACTCCAGTTTGAGATCGTCAGACATTCAGATGGAGGATTGAAATAGTGTGGCTTGTCAGCCCCCTGCTGAATCCTCCTGATGGCTGTTCTGTCACACAAAGCCGAGAGGAGGCAGATGGACAAAAGACCAGAAAGCCAAACACCGGCCGCGTGGCGGGGTGCGACGGCTACGGGGGTGGGGAGCAGGGACGGACAGCCAGGCACCGAGAGCCACACAAGCCGCTTGGATCCTGTTGCACTTCCACTCCAACTCTGCAGAAAGGCTCTTTACTCAGCACATTACTGGAACTAATGAGATGAGGTGCGAAACTGAAGCACTTTACATTTTTCTCTATCAAAATGTGGAAATTTTTTTGCTGCTCTGGCGACTTTTCCTTCACATCTTTACATCTGTTCCTCCTCTGGAACAGCGACACCAACCTTCACATCGCCGGCTTGGCAAAGAATTAAAGTCTAGAATTAGTCCCTTGATCGCTCCAATTAATCAGTCAAGTTTATTTTTATAGGATATTTCAGCAACACTGCAGCTCAAAGTTTATTTTTACAACATCATACAATCAACAGTTGTAAAAACCAATAACAAATGTTAAATTTTCAGAAAATATGTTGGTCAATCTTCATTTATTATGGTTCAAAAGTTAATCTAAGCAGGTGGGTTTTTTAGTGTTTCAGCGGTTCTGTTGCTTCTCCATGTTTGGTTCTGGTTCTGGATGCAGAGCAGAACCAGAAGACCTGAGAGATTCTGGGAGGTAGAATTGATAATTAATCATTATTTATTCCTTTCTTCCATCCATTTTACACAGTAAATTCAAAGTGATTTTAAAGTAACAATAAATCAATGCAAAAAAAAAAAACTTCAGTATTTTCAGAATAATTGTGATACATTAAGTATTGAAATAACCTTTTAGGTATTTTTGTGTCCTACCCCATTATCTTGGCAATATAAATAAATGCACACATTTGATCTAAACACTCAATAGCTCCAAACATCCATGTTTAATTCTCACCTGGCTCCACTATTCTTGTTTCCCTGCTTCCACTAATCAGGTTGGCATTCGTAGCAGGAGCCAAACCGTCTATTTCCGTCCCCACAGTTTTCCCTCCCAACACATCACCTTTCCCAGACTCTGGTTCCCAAAACAACAGGCCTTTATGTCGCCTCAGATGGAAACTAGCCTCATTGCACACAGAAGCCTGGAGGAGACAATACATGCTAATTTGCTAATGACATTACTGTGGAGGTTATTAAAGCATCGACGGAGAGGCAGGAGGCATCATCTTCGGGGGGAAGCTGCTCGATTGCTCCCAACCTGGACTCGGCGACGATATTGCGTTGTTAATGCCACTGTTCCGACCTGAGGGAAGCGCCTCTTTCAGGAGCAATCACAATAATGGTCTCTCTGGTCGCCCATGGGCTAATCTGTTGGATTTCATTAACAGCGCCGCGCAGACACATGCACCTCCAAACGCCAAACTCCACAAAGGTTGCTGTGACAACTATGGCGGTCACCATGGTGCTGGGATAATGACGTTTTGGTAATACGGCGTTGCGACGGGCTTCTTTTTTCACAGGCAGCCACAATAAACAAAATGGTTTCCAGCTGGCTTAATTTACAACCCTCTTCATGCATCATGGAGATTTATTTTGTTTTGAAATGGAAAAAATGAGTCAGCAACGCACTGAAAAACAAAATCTTACCAAGTTTCATTGTATAGTTTCTATTTCAAATATCTTATTACACTTAAAGTAAGACAAAGCCAACTTAAAAGTTACTTTTTAGCTACATACATATAAAAAAATGTTTTACTTCCACTGCCAAATTATTTCACTTCTAACAAGAAATTTTTCCTGTTAGTTGCAATATTCTACCAATGGATCAATATTTTGTCCTGCTGACAAATTACTAGTTTTGACTTAATTCAGGTGCACTAATAAATACTATAGCAACAACACTTGGTAAGATTTTATTTTTTCAGTGTACATATAAAATAAACTTCAACAAAATGGATCTGCACTGCAAAAACACCAATTACTTTTGTCTAGTTTCTGGTGTAAATGTCTCAATATATGTGAATTAAGACAAAACTAACTTGCAAATAACTTTTGAACAAGATATATTTGCTTGTTTTAAATCAATTTCTTAATATTGATAAAGATGTCGGCCTGTCACAATAACAACATTTTCTGGACGTTAAATAGTCGCAGAAACTATTCCGATAAACAATAATATTGTTAATCTGAGACCATTTTTAAGTAATTTATTGGTAATAATGCAAGAAAACACTTTAAATTCTGATTAACTTTTAAACACTGGACCTGGAAGACATTTGAAATATCCAAAAATAAATAAAGGAAACAACAAATAAAATCAATTATGAAGTTTCTAAAACCAAATTATCTTTCAAAAGAAAGGATAGTTTAGACCAAAGTATCAGACTGAAGACGTTATCATTCAGTTTTTGGTAAAAAGAGATAAATAATAAACAATAAATTAAACAAATGAAAATTAAGTGTCTTAATTTAGTTAGTTGTTTATGCTTACAAGCATATAAAGCAGATTATTTCACTTTAAACATGGAAAAATGTCTTGAAATGAATTAAGTGATTTTCCAGTCTAACTTTCTAAAATTATTATTAATGAATTATGGATTTAAAACAAAATCCTTTAACTTGCTGAAAAGTTTGGTTTAAGTTAATTTTGTCTTATTTCAAGGGTTCTAAGATTTTGTGTTTTTACACCTTGAAATCTTCAGACCCAAAATTCATTTCACCCTGAATTGGTAACAGAACCGTTATCCTATCGGTATTCTAATAGAAATGTTTTTTATTTTTACCGTGTCGTTGCTCGCTTGTTCCTCACAGAATAATTCATTTTCTTGTTGGTTTTCACTGTTTCAAGCACTGGAAATTTCATAGTAGGGAAATTTAAAACGGCACCTCGACTGTCCGCTGACAGAAAGCTCTTTGGACTCCTTTTTATGTTCGTATTGATCAGCAGTGCCATCTTCTATCGACCTTCCTGCCGCAATACCGCGTTTGATGGATTGATTGGCAGCTTGCAGCAAGAGACCAATTTGTCAGGGAGCAGTGGAGCTTGTCAGAGAAGAAGTGGTAGATGGCCTTCAGTCCCAGGGGCGGTTCAGTTGGGTAGGGGGCGCTGTGCGGCCCGAGTCTGAGCTAAAAGTCAGGTCAGGCTTACGATTACTAAACTTATTTCTTCCATGTGTTGTAAACATCATTGCTCTTTCTATTTGTGTTCTTGCAAACATCTCCCGCCTGCAAAGTTTCACCAAACATGGAGAAAGTTTTCCTGAAGGGAAACAAAACCTTCAATAAACTCTCTCTTTTTCTCCAGTTTTAAATTTGAATACATTTGAACTATAACTTACCTGCTGAGTAAATCTTTCAAAATAATTTCACCTTTTTCTATTGGGTGAAGACATGTCTTAACTTTGCTGTTGATCTTTGATTTCACTAGATGAATTAGATCAACTTGCACCAAAAATAATCCATTTTGAATTGAATTGTCAACAGTTTTAATGAATTTGTACAAAAGCAAATAAGAAAAATCCAATACCGGTAGACATGTTTAAAATAAATCTATTTTTACACTTTATTTTGCTCCTAAAAAACATCCAATGTTGACTTTAATTGCTGTGAAGTGTTTCAGCAGCTCACTAAAACAATTCAGGAATCCAGGTAAACCACAAAAAGTATCATTAAAGGTTATTTTTCTCTAAAATATTTGAATTTGCTTGTACAGGTTATGGGTCACATTAAACATAGAAATGACACAAAAAAATCAAAATTTTAACTGCAAACTTTTAATATCCACTTTTCTTTTTGCCTCCAATTTTCACTTTTATGATAAACTATGCATTTGACAGTGAAATAATCATTTGTCTATTTCCCCCCCTTGTTTGTAACACCAGAGGTAAATCTTCCAAATGGCCGTGGTTCAGCTGCTGCACATGATGATTTGTGGCCCCAGTAATTATACCTTCCTTCTGCTGGAAGAGAGAGAAAGAAGAAAAGAGTAAAAATATTGCTATTCTGAAATCCTGCACTCGATGCCGGCTTAATCATTGTCTGCCTTGTCTTTAGGACGGCTGTAATTGAAACATTAGCTGTTCGGGTCTATATGCGCTATGTGGGCGGCTCGTGTGCGCCCTGTGGATTAGTTTTAATCAAAAACCCAATCACAAGCCGATTCGTCTCGTCTGTACTTCACAGCATCTATTTGTTTTTCTCCTTTGGTTTCCTTTGCTGTTCCTTCTTGTGTGTGTGCATGTGCTTTAGATTGCATTACAATCGTGTGTGTGTGTGTTTTTTTTAGAACCAATACTGTGACTGAAACAAGGCTGTGATAACATGAGATCCATTAGCCGGTGCTATCGATGGTCTTTAAGTGATCTCCACAGCCAGAGAGTCTTTTGTTCACAAGCAACGCCATGTAACCGGCGCCTTCCACCTCCAGTCCCAATCTTGGATACAGGCAACCAAAAGGAAGCATTCACTCAAACGTATTGACCGCCGTCATGAATTTTTCATTGGCTGCTCAAGGCGATGGGCTGCCAGCTGGGTGTGTTGAGAAAATGAGGCTCCCACTCAATACCAATGGCCACACACACCCTCCTGTCCATTGCATTTTAAAGTTTATCTTCTTGAACCTTTTAAACACCTGAGTGATACTGTGCTTTAGAGGACCTGTCCACTTCTCTGTACCACTATGAATCACTCAACATTAGAGCATAAAGCTGCCTTTTGCTCCTTTCTCCTTGGCAACAGCTTGAGCACTTACTCTCCCCCTCTCCCTTGGTACTGTATGCTTTTCCAGCCCTCCATCTCTTTTCCATTTAACCTATAAAGTTACCTCCGAGCAACGCTGAAGAAACTTGTTGATTTTTGTACACATTTGCCTCCCCAGGAAAGGTAGACGAAGTGCGTTTCTCCCTGGAGAAAATATACCTCCCAAAGCTACAGACTACCAACCCGCCTGTCAGTAACATGCTGTGTTTTCCACTCAGATACACCTCACAACCTCCCGTTTACCGTCTCTGCAGTGTGTTGTCAGTTCTGAGTCCTGACAGTATCAGGAAATGAAGTGAAATGCATAGTGTGCAGATAAAGATGTCCATTGTACCAGTTAGAGGATGGTTTTTGGCCTCTTTTGTTCCCAAAAACTTCATAAAACGCGAAACATTCAGTAGATTGCGTTTATCTTTACCCGCTTATTAATGCTTGGTTGTGGAGGGGCAGGTTCGACTCTCCTTTGCTGAGGACAATTTGGAGTAACCCGTCAACCCAATGGACATGTTTTTGAACTCTGGGCTTTTTCTAGCTTTTCTACTTTAGCTTTAAAATAACTGTTTGCTAGTATAAAGCTCAGAGCTCCTTCTACCAAACAGCATTAAAGTAGCTACTAGCTACTTCAAAGCTATTTTGGTTCCTACAAACTAAGGTCAATCTGAATGCTGGTGTGAAGATAAACATTTGATTCTTGCACACAACCAACCTTCAAATAAAATGTACATCCTTTCTGTAATTTTCACTTTGCTTGAAAGATGAACTCAGGTGTTTTAAATTAGTTTTTGAAGAGCAATCAGACTTTTTCACCTTCAGTCTAGTTTTTCATTCATAATTTCCTCTTTTGTTTACTTTTTTTATAACTGTGTTATTTATAATCTCGAACTTGGAAGGCCCTCACGCCATGAATTTCTTCTGCCTTACTCCTCATCTTTGTTTCTGTCTTCACAGGACCTGCGGGAGGTCTGGCTCCACTACCCACCTCACCCCCTGCAGGTTGGTCGAGATGCGATTTATTATTGATGTTTATTTGGTTTCTGTTGCCTCTCATTAAATCTCACCTCATCCATTTGGAGAAAATTGTCTCCTGGTAACCCATAGGCTGTTATTTTTTGCAACGGCTGACTTACATTTTATAACTGTCAAAGTGTTTTTCCACCAGCTTTGTTGTGCTGCTTTCCGGTTTTGGTCAAGACCTTAATCCTCTTTCTGATTTACTCTTCTTCAGCAACATTTCACTCTTTGCTTCTCCCTTTCAGTCGCTCCGCATCGTCACCGTCTCTGCTGTGCTTTGAGTGCCACGCTCCGTAAAGAAACACTGAACATGTCAGCAGTGTTTGTTTGAAATTAGAATTTGGAAGACGAGATCAAAGATGCCATAACAGGATTACGATCCCGAATCACATGAGGTCTCCAGGGACCGCCAGGCATCTTTCTCTCTGATGTGTTTGCAGGAAGAAAGCGTTTCTTTCTCAGAGATTTGTGTTTAAGCTCTGTAAGTGCATGTGCTATAAAGTGTCTCAGCGTTTCCACATGTCTGTTTTTACATGTCTAGTCCAAAATAGCTTTTTTCTGCACATGTGTGCCTCCTCATCCATCTATTTGTCACCTCTAAATGTTAAAGACTCAGAGAGAGAGCTGGGTGTTTTTGTTGAGCCTGTCAGGGCTCAGGATTAACCGACTGCAGCCAGCACTCCGTTTTCCTTGTGAGCTGCACAGTCCCCAGCAGTGAGTACATGAGCGGGGTGGAGCCCCGTGGGTCCACCCCGCGACCCGCCACTGCTCTGTGGTGCGAGGTCTGCTTCCATTAGCCACTTCAGAGCAGGAGCATCATTACTGCGCTGGCTGGTGCTGCTGTTTCCTCTGGGTGGTCCCCTGGTAAACTGTTCCTACTGCATGGTAGCTTGACAGCATCTTGCCCTTTAAACTCAGTAATAATCAGCCTTGTATATAAATGTAAAAAATTGTGTTTTTTTTTTACTTTGACTGCTTTTGATCAATACTTCAACAAGTTTTCTGAAGCTGTTGTTTTTCTAGCTTGTTTCCGTCCTGTTTTTGTACGTGACCTGAACTTATGTTTTCTCAAAGTGAGAACTGGATCCAAAAGTAATAAGAACTTTTAACCATTTGACATTTATTTCAGACAATACAACATTTTCTGAGTAGTTTTTACCATACGTGCTTTTCCTATGGTTAACTGTTAGCTATTTTTATGTTGTGGTTACCGTCCATAACAGTTAGCCTGAGTAGATTCTACTGTAGCTAGCTGTTAGCTTGAGCCAGATATGAGTAGCTTTTACTGATTCTTATTTCCTTATATGTAGACTGGGTGTTTGTTAGCTTTCCCTACCATTTGTTCAGGTAACTGTTAGGTTTAGTCTCTGTAGCTCTAATACACGCTAAAATGACATTTCATGTGATTGGCTATAGGAGTGAGTAGATCTGACCCTTACTAGCTTCAGATGTAAGCTGAAATATTTGTTAGCTTGACTTACAGTTAGCTGTACTTACTGCTAACTTGGGTAGCTGTTAGCTTAAGTAGCTATTAGCTTGAGTGATTCTTTCCTTGTTTAGTTAATTGCATGAGTAAGTTTTAGTAATTTTAGCTTGCAGCATGAATGACATTTAGCTTAAGCCGTGGTTAGCATAAGCAACATTTTGCCTATTTAACTATTAGCATGAGCTTTAGCTTGTTTAGCTGGTAGCATGAGTTCATTGTAGCTCAAATAGCTTTTACTGCTGTTTGTTAGGTTATGTTGGTTGTATTTTAGCTTTAACTGACTTTAAACTACAGAAATTGTCTGATTTAATTCCAGAAAGTGAGGGGAAGAAAGATGGGCATACTTTTTTTTTTATTTGTTGTGTGTAAACTTCTTGCTTCTACTGCAGATAATCACCTCAGAAAGCCAAAACTCACTTGTACTTTATTGAAGATTTTGGTCTACCCTTCATTATCATGATGAATTGACCAGTAGCAGTGCAGTTGTTCAATAATAAAATTGTAAAAAATAAATAAAATCAACCCCAGAAGAAGAGCAAAGGACTCTAAGGATAGTTTGCAGAAGCTGTAAAGCGAGTGTCATTATTCACTCTAATTGTGTGTTTGCTCCAGTAGCTGTTGCTTAGCTGTTCTCATAAGCTCTAGCAATGAGATTTTATGAGTATGTGTAACTTTAGTTGTTTCCTTGGTGAATAGCTCATCATCTGCTGGAGAGATAACAGTTTAACTTAATTGGTTAACTAATTTTAGCTTGGTTAGCTGTTAGCTTTGGTTGCGAAGTTCAACTTTTGGAAACCCCTGCAACTGCTTGTATAACATTGCTCAACCCTGAACACACAGTTTGTATAGATTGTGTCACTGTCTGACATTAATCAGACCGACTTGTTTTAGGTGAATTGGGATTGCCAAAAGTTTTTCTGTTTGATAAAATGTCAGATTTTTAGGCCAGTGTTCGCTTTGACTATATTATCAGTAACTCCAAGCTGTAAAAATTTGATCACTTATTGGGTTTAGACATGTCAGGTGATGTGGATTTGTTTAATGATGGAGGACATGGTCCAAGGAGTTCAGTACCTTATATTAAGTTGTGCATAATTATTAGGCAGATTTTATTCCTCAGGCAAAATGAACCAAAAAACTTATTGACTGGAATCTCAAAAAGTGGAAAAAAGGCTTTCATGGGAACGCTGCGCTCTTAAAATCTCTGATATATGGGTGTGTGATTACAGAAACATCAAACATTTTGTTGTAAATACATGCAAAAAAGATGCAAATTAACTACCAAAGACTTAAGAGTCAAACATGAAGCTAAGAGGAGTCCATTCTCCATCGGCGCGTTCATATTGCAGAAATGTAACGTGCCTTAAACTCTGAACGCAGAGCGGAAACCTGACCACCACCAAACACACCAAGAAATATCTGAAGGCAGATTTTTCAAAGGTTTTATGGACTGATGACAGAAACTCTTGACTGATCAGATGAATGGAGCTCAACACAGGAAAAAGTCTGCATCATTCATGAAGACCGTGATTTTTAATGCAGTACAAAACTCCATTACGTACGTTGAAGTGCACTAGTGCGTGACTCGCCAGCAAAGAGGCTAAGGATAAAAATCTGTAGATTTTTTTTTTGTTGCAAAAATGCCTTCAAAACCCTGTTTATATGCACCAAATAAAAAAATATTTAGATCAGACCAAACTTTTATAAAATCAGACCAAACTTTTATAAAATCAGAATCACTTTAATTTTTATTTGGTGTGTGCAAATGTCTGGTTTCAACTGCAGCTATTCACCAAAGCCAAAATTCACTCGTACTTTATTGAAATTTTAGTTCCAAGCTTCATTATCATTAAAAACGAACTAGGAGCCGTGCAGTTGTTCAATAACAAAATTATGAAAAATCAACCCCAAAAGAAAAGCAGAAGACCTTGTAAAGATAGTTTGCTGAAGCTGTGAAAGAGTCATTATTGACTCTCTTCTTTTAAATCAAGGCTAAACACACGTTTATTTTTGAGTTGCCTTCGATTAATAAATGGAACATTATTGATTTAATCTCTATTCCAATTTTTCACTACTTTCTTTATAACGCTGCAGTGTAATGTTTTGTCTTCATCATGTAAAGGACGTCGCCTTGGCGAAATGTGCAACACAGGAGTTGCTTTGAAAGGAAATGCCATAAAAAATTTAGCCAAGTTGTAGTTTTAAGGAAGTTGCACCAAATTAGAGGGAACGTTTGTCTCCAGAAACGTTTCCCATCGTCATCCGCACATCTATGAATTTGTTTAACCTCAACTGACCTTGGACAAAAAAAGTTTAGTCTGGCTTTATTTGTGCAAAATTAACTTTTTGTACGCTTTTCTAGTTCATTTGGGTTTCTACAGTTTCTGAAAACAGATGCTTTCACAAAACCACCTGGCTGGTTTTTGGGAATAAGTTTGTTTATTCCCAATGAGTCATTGCAGTAAAACCAGTCAGTAAAACCAGTGTTTTATTGTTAAATTACCATCCAGAAACCACTTACTCTATTCTGGTTGTGCAGAAGGCTCCACTTCTGCTTTTCAGAGATGTACGGTTGTATAACTTTGCTTCTGTTTGCACCCATTTTCTTGTGACTGCATCTTATTTGAATTTAAAGTAAAAGAGGCCCTAAGACATCTCATTATCCAAGAATGCTAAAAAACATATGTAATTAACATGTTTCACGTAGATGCTCGTCTAACCTTTTCAAGGCAGCATAATAAATCACCTTTAATGTCACATAAAGTGACAAAGTTTACATCCAAACTGGACCAGACTCTCCTGGTTCTCTGGTGTCTTTGGCTCTGTGTGCATGAAGAGACATTGCATACTGGAATCTGAAACGATCTAAAGCTGTTCTTCCCTCGTCATTATAAACATATTTTTTCATGAGTGTTGAAAGCTCCCAAAGTTACAACATGAAACCCAAAAATTGTTGCTGAAGGGTAACAAGGTGTAACCTAATTTCTTTCCTCACCAAGACGGGGAGGAAGAAGTGAAAGAGGAGCTGCCCTAATGAGGTTTGAGCTGACGGCGGTGGCAGCTCGCCACGGCATGTGTAATTACGCGTGCACACATCTTTGGCATGCGCCGGGCTTGCCACCGCCGCGCCCTGCGGAGGGATGTGGGGCGCCTCGCGGTTTACAGGCACTTCCTCGTGTTTCCAGTTGATCCCACCAACACCAACGCACAGACGAGCTCTCCAGGATGATTTAGTAGAACGTCATTTACGTCGAGTGCGGATTACAAAATTTCTCCTTCGGTTTATCAGGGGGTACAGGAGTGTCGAGCTTGTTGGTGCCTCAGCTCTGATTCCTCCTTCGTTTTGGACTCTGAAAGTGATGCTTTGAAGGCGTTTCAAACATTTTTATATTTATTTATTTCTTCATTGCTTCTGTTGATTCCCCCCTGTGCTCCTCACCCTCTCTTTGCTTCGTTTGAAGCCTTGCTCCTGGCCATTCCCCCTGAAGGATAGCTAGCTCCTGTGAGTGCTGAACTCGTCAGATGTTGTTAGTTGTGATTCATGACATTTAAACGCCTCGCGTTAATTAACAGAGGGAATTTATAAAAAAGAAAAGGGAGGCAGGAATGAAATGTTTCTTGGTACGTGCCGGAAGATGGAACCATGACATTACCGGCAGCGCTCCAATTAAAATACTCGGTTTAAAAATACATCTCTGCTCTGCTCGCCGGCTTGCCATGGGAGACTTTGAAAAATGATGCTTTAAGAGAGCGCAGACAAAAAGAAATGTTGAGAAAATAAAGGATCTTCTGAAGAGCCTTGATCTGGTGTGTTTGGGAGAACAAAGCAGCAGAAGGTCAGATAAATGTGCTTCAGTTATCTTTGAATGTCCTCGAGAAATTGCATGGATTTCTTCTGGAAAATATGTTTTGGTCAAGCCAGTAGTTGCTCCACACAGAGACCAATTAGACGATTCCAGCAGCTTAATTAATCTCCCCATAAGAACGTCTGCATACATTTGTTTATTTACATTTTTTGGCTATTTGAGCATCACAATTCCTCCTCTAATGAGCTTAGTCATGAGCAAATATTGTGGTGAAAGCCTGATAGGCATTTTATCTTTATTATAGGCAAAAAAACCCAATGAAAGTCACTCATGGGGCTTAAATGATTAATCATTATTAATCAATTATTGAAATCAACAAATTTGATGATTTAATAATTAACTAGAGCATGAAAACAAAGATAATTTAAAGATAACTGTAAAATCAATAAATTAATGTTTCTTTTCTCATTTAACCTTCCTGCAGTTTTAGTGTGACGCTCACGAGGAGCGCGGCGAATGTCACGGTCAGCATCGCGCCGTCAGACCGTCAGTACCTGAAACCACACAAACGAAAAGCAAATCAAGAAGCACACCTCCAAAAAAGTCAATGCGACCCTTAAGATTACAGGAAGGTTAAGGAAAGAATGTAATTGTTTATTAGCATCTTTTAATGTATTTCTGATATTGTATGATAAAAGGCATAACTTGATGCATAAAAATATGTAAAATAAACCTTTTTTCACCATTAATCAATTACTAAAATAACTTTTAGTCGGAGCAGAAGTTGCTCGTCTTTGATGAACAGATGACTTGCTGTACTTGTGAGTCACCAGATGAATCGACTGCTAGAAATACCAGAGAAGTGAAAGAGCTGATTGGCTGCTGCGGATCATCTCAGTTTGTTTAGAACTGGGATAAAAATATGCAAACAGCGCCAAGCACTGCACTGGGAGAACTGGGAGAAAAGCTTTTACATGATGAAGACGTTTCTTCTTCGTCACCACCGGGCCTCAGGTTGAATTTATGTGTGCGTAAAAAACAGTTTCCCTGAGGAACACCTAAAAAGATATATGGACTCATTCATCCAATTCCACTGCCAAGGCATCCATCCAATCAACCAACCATCCATCCATCCAACAAACCAATCAACCATCCATTCAATCAACCATCCATCCACCCATCCAGCAAACCAATCATCCATCCAATCAACCATCCATCCATCCATCCAACAAACCAATCAACCATCCATCCAGCAAACCAATCAACCATCCATCCAGCAAACCAATCAACCATCCATCCAGCAAACCAATCAACCATCCATCCAACAAACAAACCAATCAACCATCCATCCATCCAACAAACCAATCAACCATCCATCCACCCATCCAGCAAACCAATCAACCATCCATCCAACAAACAAACCAATCAACCATCCATCCATCCAACAAACCAATCAACCATCCATCCACCCATCCAGCAAACCAATCATCCATCCATCCGATCAACCATCCATCCATCCATCCAACAAACCAATCAACCATCCATCCACCCATCCAGCAAACCAATCAACCATCCATCCAACAAACCAATCAACCATCCATCCAACAAACCAATCAACCATCCATCCAGCAAACCAATCATCCATCCATCCAACAAACCAATCAACCATCCATCCACCCATCCAGCAAACCAATCAACCATCCATCCATCCATCCATCCATCCAATCGATCAACCTTCCATCCATCCAACAAACCAATCAACCATCCATCCAACAAACCAATCAACCATCCATCCAGCAAACCAATCAACCATCCATCCAGCAAACCAATCAACCATCCATCCACCCATCCAGCAAACCAATCAACCATCCATCCATCCATCCATCCAATCAATCAACCTTCCATCCATCCAGCAAACCAATCAACCATCCATCCAACAAACCAATCAACCATCCATCCAGCAAACCAATCATCCATCCATCCAGCAAACCAATCATCCATCCATCCAGCAAACCAATCAACCATCCATCCAACAAACCAATCAACCATCCATCCAACAAACCAATCAACCATCCATCCAGCAAACCAATCATCCATCCATCCATCCATCCAATCGATCAACCTTCCATCCATCCAACAAACCAATCAACCATCCATCCAACAAACCAATCAACCATCCATCCAGCAAACCAATCAACCATCCATCCAGCAAACCAATCAACCATCCATCCACCCATCCAGCAAACCAATCAACCATCCATCCATCCATCCATCCAATCAATCAACCTTCCATCCACCAGCAAACCAATCAACCATCCATCCAACAAACCAATCAACCATCCATCCAGCAAACCAATCATCCATCCATCCAGCAAACCAATCAATCAACCATCCATCCATCCAATCAATCAACCTTCCATCCAACAAACCAATCAACCATTTTGATTTCCTGCTGATCTTCAATAACAAGACTATATAAAAACGGTTAATATGCTTCTATGGACATTGTGCAGATTTATGACCTTTAACCTCGTGTCTCGTCTCTGAGCCTCACCTTTAAATCTGTTTTTTCTCCAACCAGGTGCAGGAGCCGCAGTCGGACCGTCAGCTGATTGAAACGTCTCCAGTTCTTCAGAAACTCACCAGCTTCGAGGATTCGATCGGAGTCTTGTTCACGCATGTCCGACTGTTGGCCAGAGCGTTCACCTTGAGGACAGTCGGCTTCAACCACCTCACCCTGTGAGTAAACTAGGAGTTTTATCTGACCAGATTACCTTCTGTCTTACAGTTTTTTCTACAAACACAAATATTATCAGGGGTTTTCAGCATAATTAGTTCAAATTTAGTTCCCAAAATTTTCCTCAAGGAAGAGTAGCATTACGAAAACATATTTTTACTGAAGTAAAAGTAAAAAGTAGACATCTAAGAAATTACTCAAGTAACTATTTGGTAAAAAGTCAACTAATTAGATCATCAGACAGTCAAAAATATAAAGTTACGTGAAAATATAAGTATTTTAAAGACTAAAATAGCAATAATAAATATAAGTAACAAAAAACGTCAAAATTGGTCAAAAAAATAATTTCCAAATGAAATTTAACAAAAACTGCATGTGTCTGGTGAATCTTTGGTTAAAACATGTTTTTTTTTCATTCAGTGGGAAGAAAATCCAGAAATTTTACTCAAGAGTAGAAATACTTCATAATAAAATGATTCAAGTAAAACTAAAAAGTACAACGTAGTAAAAATACCCCTAAAAGTATTTTTTTTAAAGGTTACTCGGGTAAATGTAACTAGTTACTTCCCGGCTCGTCTTGAACGTCCTGTCAGGTGAAAGGTTTCACTCCTCTTATGTTTTTACGGCAACAGGCTTGATCCCGTCCAACAGAAGGAAAACCCAGGAGACTTTTAAGCCTCCATATCTGTATTCTGTCTCCTAACTGCGAGGCTGTAACCCCATTGCCCCATGGGAAATGCGGTTTTGATTCACTGGATTGTCCTGGACTGAAGGTTTTCGCTTTCATTTATTTCAGCCACATCTCTCACTCCTCTCTCTCCCTCGCTGTCGTGCTTCGGTCCACCTAGTGAGAGTCTTACTTAAATCATTCTTTTTGATGCAGATTTAATTAAGGCTGGCTTCGCTATACATCCTCGGTGCGTGCTGCGCTCAGAGAGCGAGAGAGCAGCCATGCACATGTGGTTTTTCTTCTGTTTTTCTCTGTTAATTGCGGCGTCTCGCAGCAGTGCTGCAACGCCCCTGACTTTGAAAGTGTGTTTTTTTTCCCTCTCCTGCGCCGTGACGTTTATTCGATAGTCGGAGGGGGAAAAGTTGCAAACGTTCTATAGGAATTGATCTGTCGTCGTTGAGTAGCTGTCCTCATTTATTCGTAGCATGTAATTTTTTAAAAATTTCAATTTTCATTAACCCGCCTTCCGGCTAATGAGGCTCTCCTCCTGAATTGTATTATTTTTTTCCCTCCATTCAGACTTGCAGAGCTTATTTGCAATAGACGCTCGGCTCACTTCTGAGCTTTCCAACTCTACACAATAGTGGGTTTGACAGCTAAAGCAAATTAGGCTTGGCAGCGCGCGTTTGATATCTTATTGGCAGGTTGCGCTCTGTAATTGCTTGCTTAGGTTGGCCACAAGGACACTTCTCTGTGTGTTAGTGCACACCGTCTGCACACACACACACACACACACACACACACTCCTGAGCATGCTCTAATCCATCACTTAAATGTCAAACCTCTCTCCAGTCGGGGTCAGTCGAGTTGATTAGAGGTCCAGAGCTTTGTCTCCTCCTGAGCTTTACTTTGAGGACTTTCCAACTGAAGGTTGAAAGCGATATTTTCCAACTCGACGGCGGAGGTTTCTACTTGTTTCAGCCGAATCCGATCGCCTGTCCTGCAGCAAAAGAGCCGATGAGTTTCCGTTTTAATTTATGTTCATCAGCTCATTAGTAGCCGAAGGCGCGTTGACCCAAATGCAGCCGAGCGACGGCTGCCCACGAGGACCAAAGGTCGCAGCAAAGTAGGTCACGGTGTGGTGATGGAGCGCAGAACGAGGTCAGAGAACGGAAAGGAGAGTCAGACGATAAGGAAGGATGTGGAGATAGGACGGCGGGTGACCTTTGGCCTTTCACTTTGAGGACTGGAGGACAAGCTGACCTACATGGTGAAGAAGATGCAAGAAGAAACACAGGATAAATCATGAAGCGCGGCAAAAACACAATTTTACCAAGTATTTTTGGCAAGATTTAGAAGAATGAAGAAAAAATGCTCGACTGCAGACTAAGTCTAAGGGATTATTTCTCAAAATTTGTTAGTTTTCAGCCACATTCTGGCTATTTATAGCCACACAGCAAATATAAAAAATCTTATTATTCTTGAAACAAGATGAAACTAAAGATGAAACTAAATTAAAGTTACTTTCCATCAAAAAATAGAAGCTTGTTTAAGTCTTTTAATTCCTTAGTAGATTAAAAAACTGAAGTTTATTTCTGGAGTTATTTTAAAAAGTTAGCACATTTTTCTGCAAAAACATTAAATATATTATTCAGATCAGCCAAGAACTGAGCAGAAACTATGCAAGTTTTAAAAAAATATTAACACCCACAGGAATGTTGTCTTGCTTTTTTAGTACAATGAAATTTCTAAAGTTTAATATAATAAAACGGATCATTTGAATGAATATAATTAGCATCAAACAACAAATAAGCATAAAAACAATCCAAGCCGAAAACACGGAGAAGGGAGTTTTTAGAAAAAAATAAAATAAAAAACAAACAGACAAAAGTAGATTAAAATTATATCTGGTATGAAGAATTATATTTTATTTTTAAACCATATAGTGTCAAAAATGTGACAAAAAAGTAAAGACAATAGAAATCTGTGATGGAGGGGTGAATACTTTTCCACTACACTTCAGATGAAGTCTGTTTATTTATGTGCTGCCCATTTTCTAAAGAACTCTCAATTCCCAGCCAGCAAATTGCACTTGAATTGGACACAAGTGTCCATACAGAACCAGAACATTATTTCCCTCAGAACCACGAGGAAAATGATTTTAAAGAAAAAAATAAAAAATGGAGAGGCCTTTTCTCTTTGATTGGGCGGCCTTATTTCTGCCCGCTCAGAAGTGCTGTTAGAGGCATTTTAGATCAAATTCAAAGGTGAATAAAGACCTCGGCTCCACACTTTACCTCAATTTCCTCCAGCTTTTCTGGAGAATTGTCGCTGAAGCGAATAAAGGAGGCTCCTTTTGTGCAGCTGCACACATTCCTCTCTGACCCGCTCTATCTCCTCCTTTTTTTGTCCTCCATCTTTTTCCCTTATTCACTTCCTTTCTGGCTGTCACCCCGCTGTTTCCTGCCCGCCTCGACCTCCTGTTCCAAGTGAAATCAGCATCTTTTCGCTCCCGTCTCATCCTGCGGCTCTGGGTTTTCAGAAATCAGGTGTTTCCGACGTTCAACCCTGAAAGTGTGGGGATGATTTCTCCCGAGTCTCACTCGTTCTTCGCCTCGGCTTTTCACGCTCTCATGAGCCGTGGCGGAGCCTTTTCATTAAGAAGCCCTCTGATTATTTTTAATGTGGGCATCAAGCGGTGTCCCTCTCCCCAAACGGCCTGGACCTCAAAGACGCATTAAAAGGGAAAGAAAAGTGGCTCCAACTTAAAGCTTATTCTCCGCTCTTACATAAGCTCCTCACTGTCTTTAAATTAAAATCAACTTCTTTATTTTTCCGTTTTAAAACATTCAAATTGCATCCGACTTTTATTCCTCTCCAGTTTTTTAAACGGACTAATCCTCCTGCGGTGCTAATGCGGTAAAGTCCATATCAAACAGAAAGTTTAAGAGTCGGTTATTTATCAGTTTAATTGTAGCTGGAAATGTTTCCGAGGGACAAAAACACACAGATTCCAGTTTAATTATTCAGTAAGCGAAGATGGAGTGAAAATTTCACATTATGTTAAGGAAAAACGAAGTACACTCTATTATTTAGAAATTTGTTGAACCAACATTTAGCAATTTTGTCTCTTAAAGGGGCAGTGTCATGTAAAATGTACTTTCTTTTATGATTTGAAGCTTTCCCTCCTCATACCTGGAGTGTTTATGATGTTTCTCATGCGTATTTGAGAAATCCTTGGCGACATTCAGCTGTGCAAAACATGTGGGTGGACGTAGCCCCGCCTACAAGGACGAAACTCCTCCCCTCACTCAGATCCTTCAAACTAGCCAAACACCTTATAGGAGCTACTTCTCAGTGAAACCTTGATAAAAAGGTTGTTAGAGTTAATAGGGCTAATGTTGATGACATAGTAAACGTTTCTTAAGTAGCTGCTAGCTGGATAAGCCACTTTATTGAGTGCTGATAGCCGACTCTAGAATAGCCATTAGCTTGAATGATCACTTTCCTAAATATAGCATTCAGGTTTTAAAGTCCAAGTAGCCATTAGCTTAAGTACTTCTAAGTTTGAGTAATTGACATTAGCTTGCATAGATGCTAGCCTACTTAGCTTATAAGTTACAGCTAGCTGATTTATAGCTTGAGTAGCTTTTAGCTTTAGTGAGTATTATTACAACAATTAGGAATCTGAAAGCTTCATTAGCTTCAGAATGTCTTAATGATTCTCCAAACTATAAATAGTTTACTCAACCTCTCCTGCAGTAGATATGAACTTCGGCTCTGAATCCCAAAGAAACCAAGAAAGAACTTTAAAATCAATGTGTTTGGCTTCAAATTAAAAAACAACCACCACACTTTCTGGACTTAGCAACAGAAAATAAACAGAAAATTAAAGCTGCAAGCAGCTCGAACGGCCCTCGCAGCCAAGCGCCGCTCCGGCCTATTGCCACCGCGGGGTACTAGCAACCGTCGCCTCACGCCAGCACCACAGAAGCTCTCACGCAGTTTTCAGCTCCTCCGCCCGCACCACGGAAGCTGTTGCTCAGTTTCCATCAACGCTGACCACGTGCTAACACAGAAGTTGTTGCGCAGTTTCCGCCCCGTCCACCAGGCGGGACGCACTGATGCGTTCGGAGGCGCTCCTTGACGATTCAAAAAATGTGGTGCAGATTCATTGGTTTAGCGAGGATATAGCTGGCGGATTAATGTAGGACGCGCAGTGGAGTCAAAAATATTTCAATGCTGTTCTTCTCTTTAGAGGTCAACAAAGGTCATACGTATCCAATTTGGCGTCAGTCGGATGATCCACTCTATTTCATTGTTGGAGTAATA